TCCATCTTCTAGTGAAACTTTAATTACAAGCCGGGCGGCACACAAAGCAGGAAGCGTCCGGTTCTGACACGAGGCCTCCGTTGCCGCATTGAGAAACACACCGTCATTAGCTAAGGCCCTACAAGAACCTGCACGCAGCCAGGAGGCCGCGCATCCTTTCATGTTCTATGGTCACATTCTAGAAACTCTAAGGCCAAAACCACAGGGGCAGCTGCAATTTGGTTTCCAGACTTGCTCCAGTCATGTTTTGTTGTTGTTCAAAATTTCACCTTTGCCCTGTGATAGTGGCTAACAGTGGGAGTGACCTGCGTGGATCGAAGTTAAAAAATACAATTGGAATGATGACAGCAAGGCCAATTTTAAAGGGGTGCCACTTAAACTTTGTAAATAACAGGCTTCTTTCTGAGCTTCAGGGAAATGTTCACCCTTGGAACCCTCCCAGTTTAAGGCATGTCCCAACTATGGCAATGAGTGGCCTTTGTATCTTATACTTAGAACCAATATGAATGAAAATATACATCCAACTACATCTGGGCTGCTTAACATCACCTACATTACAACTCAGAAAGCCTGATCCTATGTATTTGTCTGAGAAATGAAAGTATACGTCCATGAAAAGACTTATTGAGAATGTTTACAGAAGCAATATTCATCATACCCCTAGAGCAGAAACAACCCAAATGTCCATCCACAGGACAATGGATAAACTGTGGTCTATCCAAACAATGGAACCCTACTTGGCAAAAATAAAAAACTTACTGATACACATAAGATAAGTGAATCTCACAAACATTAAGTCGTGCAGAAAAGTGGATGGACCGAAAACATAAAAGAGCTCACGGTATATGATTCCATTTATATGAAGTTCTAGAACAAGCAAAACTAATGTGAGGTAGCAGAAGTAAGAATAGCAGTTGCCTTTGTGGGGAGACGGGGAAAGGCAGAGGGGGCAGGCTGGCGGGAACTTTCTAAAGGGGCAGAAATGTTCTCTATCTTGATCAGAGTAGAGGTTACGAAATTCATGAACTTACATTTAAAATTTGTGCATTTGATTATATGTAACTTATACCTTAATCTGAAAAAAAAAAATGGCTGCAGTAGGATCTGAAGGGGTGAAAGGACTAGCTCGTCACTTTCAGGGTTGCTTGCTTCTGCAGAGGCCACAGGAATATCTCTGACCCTCAAATTCCACAGGTATAGGGCACCCCAAAACACGGGACAACAGCCCTCCCCTCGAGGCCTGTGCTGGGCTGGCCTAACTTGAACTTCCCTGAGGGCCTAAGGAAGACAGACAGGCACAGGCAGCAGGACCCCAGAAGCCTTGGGGGCTGACCTTGAGGGAGGTGGGCGATGCTGTGTGTACAGTCAGTCTGTGACCTAGCACCCTGGTTCCCTTCCCCAGTCTCCAAGTAAAGACCTTCCTTATCAGGGAAGCCTGGAGAGGAGAAAGAGGAGCAGGGCTGCACAGGCTTCACACATGTCGGACGTCCACCTGCAGGGGGCGCCCTGCCAAAGAGGAGGGTTCACACTGTCGCAGAAGTGCTCCAAGCCAGGTGTCTGGCCAGCATGCTCATCTGCCTAAGGGCCAAGGTGGACCACAGACCCTCTAAGATTAGGGCCTTCAACAACCTGGGTCAAATAACCCTGTTGTCTCTGTCCACCTTGGTAGTCAGTGCCTATTACAGAGGGCAGTGATGTTTATTGTAAAAAATATTGGTTTTATACAAAGTCAACCTCTTTCACACTTCAAAGTCTCACTCATGGACTCCCCACGCCAAGGCTTGGCATGGCTGCTCCTTCTCACCCCTCTGTACCTATTTTCAATGCCATGTCCTCGAGGAGCCTTCCTTGAGACCCAACTCCAACCTCCAACCCTCCCTGTCATCTCCAATTACTTTCCTCACCATCATCATGACTAGTGACTTATCTATTTGTTCACTGACTTCTTCATTCACTATGAGGTTGAGCAGTGTAGGGGTTGTGGCTGGTTTGATCTCCACTGTATAAGGAAGCACCTGGACTGGCACATAGTAGGGCCTCAGTCAATACTGGTTGAGTGGACAAATTCTATACCTATTACCCAACACACAAAATAAAGCAAACAAACAAAACCCTAACTTACTCCTGCAAGCTCAATGTAAAATGCACGTGAAACAGCCCTGTAATCCATGTCTGCTTATAGAGAAGGTCTCCTGGGAGCAAGTTTGAGGCTCTCTGTAACACATGACATGCTCTGCAGTGACTTAAGACAAAAATGTTGAAAAGTGGGTCTCCCATATTTTATCAAAGTACCAGTATCTGTGGCCAAAAGAGGAGATACAGGTCTTATGGAGCTGACCAGGCAAATGAAATTCATGAGCAATTTCATTCTCCAAAAAATGGACTATTATAGGAAGCATGGGCTGTAGATTCAATGTGGTAAAATAAAAAATGACCTATTTGGGAACATAAAACAAGGAGGTTAGGATATATATGCTGACTTGGCAAGTCATCTAGCACACTGTCAAAGGAGGAAAAATTATCTGTGTGCACAGGCACACACACCTAGACAATAGCCCCAAACCTTGAAGCTCACAATGAAATCGTGAAAGAAAGAAAGAGAGAGAGAGAGAGAGAGAGAGAGAGAGAGCGAGAGAGAGAGAGAGAGAGGGAGAGAGAGAGAGAGAGAAAGAAAAAAAGAAAGAAAGAAGAGAAAGAAAGAAAGAAAGAAAAAAAAGAAAAGAAAAGAAAAGAAAAGAAAAGAAAAAGAAAGAAAAGAAAAGAAAAAAAGAAAGAAAAGAAAAGAAAAGAAAGAATGAACAACGACACAGCTCCGGCAACAGCCCCCCACCAGGCCTAAAAAGGAGAAGTCAGTGTTATTACCAGACACAATATGTCCATGGACGAGCTCCCCGCCAAATCCTAACGTCAACCAGAAATAATGCACCTTCTTATTCTCTTGGCTACCTAGAAATTTGTTAAACTGTTGGCCCAAAGAATCATTTTCACGTCCTCCTGAAGCTGGCAGTTCTGCCACCGACTGCTGAGCGATGTGGGATATAGAGGCAAAGCAAGAACAGCACCGAGTTCTGGCCTCCTCACCCCACTTCCTGTCTGTCAGTTTTAACAGTCTTGCTCAGGCTCCCTGAGCCACAGTTTCCTGCCCAAGTTACTTAATAAGGTGAACTTTAATAAAGTAGTGAACAACATAAAGAATCCTTAGTCTTACACAAGTCATGACCTTTCATTTGCTCCCTCCTTAACATTAGGACGATGATTCTTGTCATTTATTGAACACTTATTAGGATGCGCTAGCTTATATGAATAAGCTCTGGTTTAAAAAAAATAGGTTAATCATATCACAGGTCACAGAGTGGGAAAAAATAACTATACATGGCTCTGGTTTTGCTGTGTCAGAAACTGGGAATAAGGATGGGAGAGTGAGGAGTAGGGGCAATTTTAAACTAAATGCCTTTGGTAATTCATTTGACTCAATGTGGCATATTAGAATGATCTCCGAGCTGTTTGCCAAATTACAAGAGGATATCTGTTGAAAGTCACTGGCAAGGGCCTGAGTTCTGCCCCGTGTTTCTCTGTCAGCCACTTGCCAAATGTTCCGTGAGGAGAAAAGCTGGAGGGTAGAATCTCACTGCTGAGAACTCTAAGCTCTGAGGGAGTGTTCAGGTGTACATGGGGTTGGGCCCCACTCTGGCTTCTGGTTGAGAACTCTAAGCTCTGAGGGAGTGTTCAGGTGCCCTTGGTGTACATGGGGTTGGGCCCCACTCTGGCTTCTGCAGACATAAGAGCCTCCAACAGATAAAGGACCCTCTGCTCACTGCTGGGGCTAGGGCTCTTGAAAACCGCACAGGCTGGGGAGGAGCGAGAGAATGAGAGCAAGAGGTTTCAGCTGTGCCCGTCCCATCTGGGCCTGGCAGGGAGGCAGTGGGGACATTCTGGGTCAGTGCTCCCCCACCTGATGTCATTTGTGGTAGGGCTGGTGCAGTGGGTTTCCCCATGAGCCCTGCTCTCCCATCCTCTCACAGTAGTCTGGGCTTGGCTGGCCTCCAAGTCAGGACAAGTCTGCCCCAGGAAAGCACACAGGACCCTGTCAGTCCCCACTGCTGTCTGGAGAAATGGCAGCCCAGAGTGGTGGGAAATGGTGGTCAGCCAAATGCAGAAACCAAAATTACACAAAGGGAAAAACAGGAAGAGCCCAAGAAATAAAAATGGCAAGGAAAGAAAGGTTTTGCATTTTACACCCACATTGTCCTACTTTCACTTTCCCAGGAGATAATTCCGTCATCCCGAGCCCAGTGCCAAATGTTTGCTGGGAGTACACGCAGAGGCCTAGTCACCAAGGAACTCCAAACAGAGCTGAACCTGAACTCCGCACTGCCACCGATGTGTCTGATATCATCCTAGTGGGGTCTACGGATGACGTGATATATGCAGGCCAGGTGACCAGCAGAATCCTGGACCAGTGCATGCTGGTTCATCTGTAAGCAAGCCACACTGAGGAGCCCTCGAGAAGGTCTTCAGACAGAGCAGTGTGTAAATTAAGTCCCCCAACCCCAGGAAGAGCAGCCGTCTTTAAGGCGAGCATGCCACCTCTAAATACACACTGGAGGCCGAGGGGGTGAGCAAACCGACCATCTCTCCGCCACTACTCACCATGTACGAAGGAAAGATCAGAACTCGTTTGTGCTTGCCACAAGGCCACTGGGGGTCATCCAGGAGATTTGGGTCATAGTCCATAAAGTCTCCCAGGTCACTGCCTAAGGATCACATGCAAAGTGATAATTAGGGGCCCCAGACCCTCTAAAGCAGAAGCAGCTGGACAAATGCCAAGTATAAAGTTAGAGTAAAGAAAGGCTGGCTTCGGGGCATTTAGCTGAGTCAAATCGCTCCCTCTGACTTTTAGTAGACATCTCTGTATGCTAATGAAGTGTATCCTCCCGGAAAAGGGTTCACTAAATTCTTAACATTCTGAAATTTTTTCCATTTAAAAAAATTATGTGTTAATCTCCCTGACCCAGGAGAGCACAAAACCCAACAGCAATAAAACATTCAGTGAACATTCCCAGATTAGAAAATGTGGCACCAAAAAGGCTCATTCTCTAAACCCGCAGATAAGTTAGTAGTTGTGCGGTATGAGCAGCACATCTTTAGTACGAGTGCTTCCGGGCACGCTACTGTGTTCATATAAACATGACTCAGGGCGGGCACCAATGCAAACAGCTGTAAATGACCAGAGGTAGCCAGAACACTAGGACAGGGCTTCCAAACTCAGCACCCGGACAGGCCTAAGAACTTCACATTAGCCTAGACTTTCTCTGAGAGTTATACTGCTTTGTAAAGAGCTTTCTTCCACATGTCCACTCTTAGGAAGGTTTGTACGGGCAAAGCTGAAAGCAAGTCTTCCTTCAGCAGCCGTGTTAGCTCACCCACTATGAGAATTACAAAGGAAGTTCCTGGGTTTCTGGCCCAATTATTTGAAAAAAAAAAAAAAAAATGCCAAACTTGAGCATTATGAAAATGTAAGCAAGAAGCAGGTAACTGGTGAGATGAGTTGCTGAGTGGCGGCGAGAAGCCGGGGCATCCAGCCATCTCTGCAAGATGGCCTTAGTATTTCTCCTTGTGGGAGCTTAGGAGGTTGTGACGAAGGTTTCTCATTAAAGATCACCCTGTGGCCTGTGTGGCCTGAAATAGAGGCTGCCCCAAAGTCACATCACCTGCAGGATGAGCTCATGCTTTAGAGGCCCCTGTCCTCCATTCTGCGCACTGGGAGACACGATCCACACGGCACACTGAGGCACCTCCTGCCGCGAGCTACCAGACCCAGCCAGGTCCCAGGTTACCTGTGTCGAGGCTCCCCTGGGTGCTGCTTGCCCGTCCTATGGAGAGACTGCGGTGGCTCAGAGAACGGAACTGGGAGAAGGAGGAGGTGGAGTCAATGGTATTTCTCCGGGCTCCAAAGGCGTTTGTGGGTAACAGAAATTGGGTATAAGAAACAGTCTAAAAAGTGAAGACAAAAATGGCACATGATTTTTCCCAAGCAATGTTAGGTTTGCATTCTGACCAAGTTGTGTTGCCACCTAAGTTTAGGTCCATATAGTCACACCTGCAGCTCTAAAATCCAATGAGATCTTAAAAACGAAATTTGTTTTGGCACTCATTTGTGCCAGAACTGACTTGAGGCTATCCATAGTTTTAATTTATTCTACTTGGTGTGAATGTTCATGTTATGTGGCAGAAATATTAGTGTGTTTGATAACAATGTGCTATCTGAGAAGCCGTCGGGGTGCTGTGTAATATGTGAGGCACACAGTGCTATTACTTTTTATAAACTACCAAATGCAGAATTCCAGGGTTCATCAGGCCCCAGGAGTCTCTGATAAGGGACTGTGACCTTTGGCAGTTCTTTTGTATTCCTTTGGCAGATGTCATCTATGATGCTCATCTCTGTTTTATCTTCCCTCATTCCTATGTGAACACCCAACCCTTAGGAATGAAGATAGGACAAGTATTTTTCTTTACACCTGCCTGGGGAGTTGTGGCTCAACACCCTAAACTCCGGGTTGATGCCGTTTGGGCACAGTGGTGACCAGCTGTCCTGGGGAAAGGGTGGTTGGGAGGTTGTTTACCGCCCCAGCAGCTTCACCCGCAAGCAAACTATGCTAGGACAGCTTTCTCAAAGAAACTCTTGCATTGTCTCCACAAACAGGCTTTAGAAGAGTTTATAAAGACCGCCTGGATCCAGCACAAAGAGGCCAAGTTCGTATTTCAACCTTCACTCCTCAGACTTCAACCCAGCAGCTCAGTGAATTGTGGGTGAGAGAGGAATAGGACAGCTCTGCTGCTCAGTGGTCACTATCTAAGGCTAAGGGACTCTTAGCTTCTCAGGACCACGGGAAGCCAAAAATACTTTCCAGTAGTGGGAATGTTGCTTGCTGACACCATCAGTTATTCCTTGTTAATCCAATCACCTGTCACTCCATCCCAGAACATGTACATGTGTGTGCACGTGTGTGCCTGAGATACTGATGATACTGGTCATATCATACATTCTGCTGTTAAACAGTGCGGGCAGAGAAACTGTTGTGCTGCTATTTAATCACTGTCTTGGTGGATTTCCTTCCTCATGCTGGAGGACTGGTACAGGCTGGTGTCACGCACCCAGGAACATGTCCCACACCTGGTTCCTCCACCACAAGCGAGGTTCATGGTCTGTCAAGGTGCCTCTGCTTCCTGAACCTGTGGTATCGGCACAAACTCATTGACTGGAAGCCAGACAGCCTTACCTTCCCGTCAGCTCCCAGTTCCACGCCTTCAAGGCCAATGATCTCTTTCAAGCTCACGGCACCTGCTGATTGTCTCCCTCCATCCAACTTCAAATCCCTGGGGAGGACAAGTCAAAGAAAAAAATGCTTTTGTTTGTACCCAAAAGAGATATAATGATGTTTACTGCATGAGACGACATTGACAAGCAGGCCCTGGACTGGACCTCCCTTTGTCCCTCTTTGGGGCTTGTCAGTGACACTCTGTGGGCAATTCCACTCACTTTGAGATAAACAAAATCCAACCGTACAGAAAGCCTGAAGATGAAAGTGAGGCTCAGAAGCTGATGGATTACCGACCTCCTCTGCTGCTCAGCAAGGCCCCTCTACGCTAAGATGGTCATTGAATAGGAAGCCAGGGAGCATTCTCTGGGTACAGTGGGACAATGCTTCTCTTGGGCTCTAGCTGCTGGCTTTTTTTTAAATCTGGAGAGACTACCTCTCCTTGACACCCCTTTTATTAGATGGGAGAAAGAAATTCTTGTCCTACAGTTCTCAGGTTTATTGCTGGTAAAGAGTCAATGCCACAATAGTCATTCCGGCTACTTGCCAGGCCAGCCACCTAGAAAATAGGTATTTTTCTATAAAAAAATAATATCCAGCATTAACAATAAACACTTATATAGAACACTTCACAATTTACAGAGACTTTCACACATCACCTCTTTCATTCTCTAAGATGCCCCTATCAAACAGGTATTGCTATTATCCTATTTTACAGATGAGGAAAATGAGGCCCAGGGTAGGTCAGTGGCTTGCAAATGTCATTAGGATCGCAGGTTGAAGAGACTGGTTTTGCATCCAATGCTGTCTGTAGTACATCACAAGATGAGCTGGAGATGCAAGATGAGCTGGCTGTGGCTAAGCTCAGACACAACTCCTCACATTTTCAAGGACAACCCCCTTACAATAGTTCTCAAACTTGGCTGCATATTAGAATCACTTGGGGATCTTTGACAAACTACCATGGTCTGGCTCCCATGCCTGCCATTCAGATTCAGTTGGTGTGGGGTGCAACCTGGGTGGTAGGAGTTATAAATGCTGCCCAGGTGATTTTAAATTGCAGCCACATCTGGGAAGGACTGTCTTCCAGCTTCTTCTCTGTGACATAGTGCTTGTGAGTCAAAGCCACCTCAGGCCTGCAGTACAATTGCTGTGTGGCCTAGAGAGGCACCACACTCGGGGGCTGTGTCTTACAACCTAAGCAAGAATGAAGAAAATGTAAAGGCAAGACTCTCTGGGAGGAAAGTAAAGGAATCAAGGAAAGAAAGAGAAATAGCCAGGTGAGTGTGGAGAAGAAAGACAAGAGACGCCCCACCACCCTCCACCCTGTTCGGTGGAAAAACACAGGATTCTCTGATTCTGTTGAACACTCATCCTCATCTATGGGTGTCCTATGGATGAACTGGCTACCTAATCCTACCTATAAGGTAGAGTGTTTAATTAATGGCAATTTTCAAAAGAAATACTCAAGACCTGCACCCCGTGAGAGCTGCATTTTTAAGGCAGTCTCCTTTGGAGGCCATGGTTCTGCCATGTTCAAAATGTCTCTGGAGTCCCTTTTGGAATCAACACTAGAGTCATGCAGGAAAAAACAAACAGCCAAGCCATCCCAGTCTTCAAACTTTATCTACATATTTTTCACCCTGAACACTCTTACTTTAATCAGTGCTCCCCTCATTGATCAGATTTTACTGTAAATGACTTCAGATAATTCCAAACATCAAACTCACTCCTAAGGACAGTACAAAACAAGACAGTAACTCACAGAACTATAAACGCTTTGTTAGAAGGAGCAAATCATCCCATCGAGAGCTTCAAAGATGTTCTGAGCCATGGAAGTGCTCTCGGGATATGTCTGATTTCTCCTCTTCTGGGGACCACATTCACTGAGGGCTATGAGGTCCAGGATGGTTTAAGTCACATCACTTCACAAACATGCTGTGCCAAGAGAGAAAACTGTGTTCCAGTTATTGACCTCAAATCCGCGGCTGGAATAACCAAGCAGGCTGGAGCAGTGTGGGGCTCAGCAAGGCCACCAGGCCCACAAGACCACATGTACCAGAGACCATCTGCCTCCTACATGAGCCATCCAGGGAGGCTCTCAAGAGACTTCCTCCAGCAATTAAAGACAGAGATGATGAATGCTTCAGGGTGCTATCAAAGAAAAATGCCTATGAAGCAAGAAGCAGGCAAGGAGGCTAAAACGGTTGTGGAGGGTCAGAAGCAGGGAGCCCCACGGGGGAAGACCAGGAGGTGAGCTGATACGAAGGCCGCAGCGCCTTGCGTTTCATTAAAAAACTTACAGCACGCTTCCATGGACTTCCTGACTGTCCAGAGCCAAACCCGGCGAGCATGTGCCTCAAATTCCCAACTCCCAAACAATTATCTCCTTGTTTCCATTTTTGCCAGACAGAGGATGTTATTTAGGGCTGTAATATAAAAGTAGGGAATGTTTTATGGGGTGAGAAGATTAAAAAAAAATGAGTATTAAAATAGGCCCTTATTAAGAGTGCTCCTTACACCCCAAACTAATATAAAAATGTATCTCAACTATATACTTTAGTAAGAATTTTTTTTTTAAAGAGTGCTTCTGGATGGAGAGCTGGCTGCAGGCAGGAACAGAGTCTCAGTCCATATTTGTATCCTGTCCACACAGCATCTGATGCGCAAGATAACACTTCAAGAGTGTTTACTGGCTCGTTGCTGTCTCACGGGTGGGTCATAAAGACAACAAGGGACATGGGTGCTTTTCCACTGTGCCACTTTTCATCTGTCAATTTGCTCACAAGCTCACTGCTTCCACAGACAGCCCTGCTTTGGCCAGCTGACCCCTGGCTGCTAAATATACACATCCCAGTTCACTGAACCAAACTACACTCACCCCACACTCTGCCCCCTTCTTGATGCCTCCTCCAAAGCAAATGGAGCCATAACAAAAATTATACTTTTGGTGCTCACATAAAATCCAAGACTCTTCTCCATGAGATAACCCCCGAATCCCATTTAAAGAAGCGGTGATTATTAGACAACCCAGCGATTGTCCACGTGCCTCAGGGACACTTTGGGCCACATGGAAGAGAAACTTCGGACCACACTTTGCAACAGGTGAAGCTGCATCACACCTAACCACAAGAACCAATCTCCTGAGAACTACTGTGCCGGTCTGCCTACTGCTGCCGCCACTCCCCACTGGCTCTTCACTTGTACCATTCTACTTTCTAAATAATCAAACCGAGTAAGAAATTAAGCTGGGAGAATAGTGGGTTTACCACCCTCAGCTGCTACTAGAAAACACATATTGCTTAGCTTAGCGCTATCTACAGAACTTTTGCAGTGACAGAAGTGGTCTCTATCTGAGCTGTCCAATATGGTAGCCACTAACCATAGGAGGCAAGTGAGTGCTTGAAGTATGACAAGTTGACTGAAGAACTAAATTTTTTATTTTAGTTAAATTTAAATAGTCACATGAGGGGAGTGACAGTTGTACTGGACTAGTGCTTACTCATCAGTACTTTGGCTACCATTACTTTTTAAGACAAATAGTCATAGATTACATGTTTAGTGACTTGTATTTTATTTCCCAATTTTCTTCCCCAAAGTGGCCTGGTCATTTTCTGCCCACTGTAGGAGAAGTGGGAGGGATGCCCAGTGATAATTAAGTTGGAATTTCCCTCTGGCCTTATAGAAGGGGGCCTAATAGTTTGTATGAAGTAGATTAAAAAAAAAAATTAGAAATAAGACATTTCTTGCACACTGAAGCTGATGCACGCACATTTATTCCATTCACACTTCAAAAACTTCACTGACATGGTAATAAATATCACAACTGCTCTAAAAAATCGATTGCTTTGCGGTGGTGACTAAGTTGTCACTCACCTCAGGGCTGCCGTTTTGGAGGGCTGGAATTGAGAGCACACGTCTACACATATCCACTGGCATGTCACATGTCCATAGAAAATGAAACACATCTCATCTATTTCAATAATGTTGGTTTTTTTTTAACAGCTTTCGAATCCGAAAAATGTATCTTTCACAGAGGCTGACAAACTTCTCTAGGGTTGTCTTTAGCTAAGTGTGTCATGTTGCTGAACCATATGAAATTGCTGTTATTTGCTCGTTTTGTCCTACATAAACAGTGATTTCATATCGTGCCACCTAATTTATAGATAAGGCAGTTTGCTAATTTACTGCTCAGGCCTTACATGTGAGTGTAAAGCAAGCAAGAGACCCCTGGCCCTTGATGCCTCACTTTTTTGGGGGTCAAGTGGGTGGGAAGTCACCTGCAAAAAGGAACTCTGAATGGCGTCACTGATTTATCCAAAGGGAGTGTTTAAAAAACTCCAATGAAAAAGAATTAAGCAGAACTCCCAGTGGAGTAGTGATAAAATCTTGATGCTTTCTTTCTAAGATCATTAAACTCTCATTAAAATGGTGTATGAAAATAGAACTATCTCTGGCTCAAATGCCAGCATTAACCCTCCCGTACTAGGAGATAGAGCTGGAATTGTGGAACCACAGCTGAAAGTAATTAGAAGCAAACTGAAGTTGAGCTTTTCAATTTCTTTGAAAAGCCTAGAATATTTTTTCCCAGATATGTGTTAAGTTCAAATATTAATTTATGTTCCACCTCCTTCTAAATATGAGTGGAGGCAAGTTCAAATACCAAATGTAGACATTGTCCAAAACTGTGCATTACGGTTTAAATGCTGTAGCTTGAATTCAGAGATGAACGTGCTTGGGTGATATGAGAAGATCTCATTTGGCTGGATACACTAAGAGAACCCCTGGTAGGGAACTGTGGACAATGCATGGTCTGAGTCCTTCTCTTCCACAGCCCTGGGTGATGCTACAGCTCAGACTTATTTAGCTACAAGAGCTCATTTCTCATTCTATTTAAATTTCTTAACTTTTGCAGAGGCTGTAAGCAATAAACGCACTTTGAAAACGGAGCACAAAGATTTTTTTTTACAAAGGCTGGCTGATGCAGGGAGGGGGTTGGGAGATGGTTTAAGGCAGAACAGGGGAGGATGTCACAGAAGACTGTGGGGAGGGGATTAA